GCTATTTCTACATTTGTATATGTTTATGTGTAAGTGTTTATGTAGTTATTTTGTTTATGGGTCAAATAGCTACCAAAAGGTTAATTTATACTTGTTGAATGAAATTATTTAACGAACACACTCTCTCTCTCTCCATCTTTTTTAAAAAGACGATTAATGCCATCAATTGTTATAATAGATAAGCAACAATTTCGAAAATATTATGACACAAATTATGCATATTGTAATGATGATGACAACTTAGAATTGGTTTGTATTCTTTTTTTCCAGTTATTGTTATGTGTGTTGCTGATGATGGTTAGGTGAATGTAAGGATTATTATTTGGATCTGATTAATAAAATAAGCACTACATGCGTTGTGTTAGGTTGTATTTACAGATGAAAGTCAATGGAAAAACAACCTAAGCAAGAGGATCACAGGCCTAAGATAACTATGTATGTAAGAACTTAAATAGAATGAATTTAAAGGTAGTGTTATAAATTACTGTTCCCTACAGTAAGAAAGTTGAGATCAATATCTGGATTCATTTGGTATTGTTTTACTTCAACAATTGAGCACAAATACATACCATGTCATCAAAACCTTATGCTACACTTGTCCTGCTAATTTACTTCACTTGTGAAAAATTTAAATCACATAGATAGTTTAGTTTTCTAAAAGTAAAGTAACTTTTTATTATCTAATTACAAATGATAGATTGGTAGATAGATGAACTAATTCGTCAAAATTTAATCTCACTATACAGAAAAAAGGCGAAATAAAAATACAGGAGACATAAATTGAAAAACAACTGACAGACAACTCTTGAAGATAACTTAGATTTCAACAAAATATATCAATAAGATGTAAAGGAATGATGGTCAATGACGGGCCTCGATGATGATGATGATGATGACGATGATAATGTTGACATTTACTGGCGTCAATATGTTTTAATATTAATGTATATCTTTAAAAAAAATACAAAGCAATCAACTATCTCTAAACATCACAATATTAGTTATATGTAATCAAGTCAATCAAACTGTCAAACACAATAAATCCTGTCGTATAATCAGTCTTTTGAGAAATTTAGCTAACAACTGAATGTGTCGATTGGTTATATATATATTTTTTCTTTTCTGAGTTGTCTCTATACTTATCTTCCAGAACAAAAAAAAACACTGATAGAAAGCATTAGATATTTTTGAGGGTGTGGGGGGGGGAATATTACAAACTTTGTTGTTACTGTTATTCTCTTTGTTAGTTATTTTGTGAGTTTTACTGGTAATAATAAAATAGGTAATTCCTTTTTTTCATCATTGAAAAATTCCTATGATAATTAAAAAATATACAGATGTATGAACGAAGAACATTCCTATACTGTGATTGAACGTACATCAATGTATGAAGTACAATTATATATTATTTCTTTAAGATATGAATTGTAGTAATCCATTTGTACTTTACACCATTCACTCAGTTAAATAGATAAATAATTATAATTTCGTGGATTGGTTGAAGTTAGACATTAACAGCGTTGGATGCCAGATCATTGGTTTACAGATTAATCGTTCGCTCGCGAGACTGATAGGTCCTGGCTTTAAATCTTGCGGGATGGGATCGCGGATGAGCACTGTTGAGGAGTCTCACAATAGAACGAAATAGCCGTTCAGTGCTTCTGAGTTTTATATGGTGGTTCAGTTTCAATTGACTTATGAATTCAACCATTAAATTACATATATTTTCACAAATGATTGTATTTATTTATGACTCATTGTTGAATATCTCAATTATTCTTAGTATTTTCACAAAGTGGTTTCAGACGATTTTCTTCTTGTATTTCCTTTAGTTCAACAGTGACATTATTATTTTTAAAAAAAGTACTATTCATCATTGTAGAATAAAATTTTCTCCTACTTTGATGATTGTAATTAAATTAAATGGTTGATAATTTAACATCATTTACCAGTAATAATAATTTTTAGTATCGATAGTGAATGATGATTTTATTAAATAAACTAATTGATGAAGAAACATTTTCCTTATTCCAGAAAAGAATGCCAATTAATACTATTTTTAAGACTGCTACCACTAATACCATGACTATTATTACTCAAAAGATTTTGGTTTATTTGAAGAACATATATCATTTGGTTCATACTCTTATTGATGCAGTATTATTAGTGTTATATAAATATGTTGTGTTGCGTAAAGAAATAACTTTTAAGGAAAGGTTTCAGATGAATTTCAACATAAATATAACGTTACGAGTTTTCCGTTACCATTTCGTTTAAGTCAACTTATCCATACACACATAACATTTATACTATGTGTGTGTAAGGATAAGTTGGCTTGAACGAAATGATATATATATATAGTTCTTTATTCGCTTAAATTTACCGAACCAATTAGGCTGGGAAAAGAATTTTCAAAAAATATTCCACATTTTCTTTTGGTCTTAAGGGACTAAATAACGTGAATATATAAATAAAGTTTTAAAAAGGTTTCTCGCCTTTTCTCACTCATTAACATGCATCACACCTTTCCATCTCTATCCACAGAACATTAATTTATAAGATAGAAATAAATGGAAATTAATGTTATTATTCTGTTTCTTGTTTATATTCTCTTCCTGCCTAAACTTTTTATATTATAATATGAAAACATTATTTACTAAACATTTTTTATTCTCCCTCGAGATTCAGTTCTTGAAATATGATACATATATATTACATAAAATGATAATACTGATCGAAAGACAAGAATACACCATCATTCTTCGCCGTTCTTATTTATTTTATAAATAACATATATATATACTACTATTAAAACTGTGCATATATGTTAATAACATTTTAATAAAAGTTTTAACTTTAATTGAACTATGATACACTGTTAAATGGTTATATTATACACATGTGTATATCTTTAAAAATATCTGTTTTTTTCTTCTTCTCTCTCTTTACTTACCTACGAAGTAGAATAAAAACCAATGATAAAGGGAATGAATGCTACTCTATTATCTTTTTATAATAAAGTTGACTTATTTTTTCTTTACTCATAAATTTTAGAAAAAAAAACATGGTTACAGTTATGCAATAACGCGTTGTACAGAAAATCACTTCTTTTTTTCCTATTTCAATAATTACGAATAATCTAATTAAATATATAAGTTGTAAAGAGATATATAATATCAGAAAGGAATTTTTGTGGATATTATAGTAATTTAATAATTAAGATCATGAGTCAATTAAAGCTAGACCACAATGAAAAATTTGGAAGCACTGGACGGTTATTTCATTTCATGATTCCCCCCTCCACTGGATTCAGTCAATAAAAAATTATACAGTTTTACTCTTTAGTGTTAAAAGTATAACACTTAATAAAAACATGATTGATATATTTGAGAAAAGATTGTTGACTAATTATGAAATGGAATTTTTCCTATTGAACAATTAAATCATGTTAGTCTGTTATCTTGAATACATTACAAAAGCTAATTATATTCAAAGATAACAACAAACAATACTGTTGAACTATTAACGATTATCATGATGTTATTTGGGAGAATTTTGTTTGCTAAGTTAGATTTGAACTAATCAGTACAGAAATAAACTAGTATTGATTGGAGTAGCTAGTTAACCATATTTTAAATTGTATACGTTCTATGAAATTAAACTAACCATATAGTTAAAGGCTTAAATTTGAAGAACTTAAAAGGTTTAATGATTAGACTATACTCGCCTGTTGCGAGACTGATAGGTCCTGGGTTTGAATCTCGCAAGGATCGGGATCGTGGATGCACACTGCTGAGAAGTCCCATACTAGGACGTAACAGCCGTCCAGTGCTTCCAGGTTTTCCATGGTGGTCTAGCTTCAATTGACTCATGATTTCAATCTGTAAAATGAACTTATTAATGTCACTTAGTTTGAATGTTGATTATTGAATACTGAATAAATTAGAAAATTCATGAATTATTAGTTGATTAAGTTACTAAGTATTGTTCGAACTAGATAACGGTGTCTTGCATTATAGATATACTTAAATCACTGATGTGATATGAGATTTACTAGATATTATGATTACCTGTATTCAGAACTTTCTTATCAATTTTTGTTAACCAATTAGTATTGTATACAATATAAAATGATATTAAATCATTTAACAGATCAATTGTTAAATTTGAATGACAATAGAATTTCATTTAGATTTTAGTCACTGATAAGCAGTAGGTTAAACGGATATTATGTGGAATGAGGCTTATATAAAAAATATATACTTACTTGCTTACTTACTTACACCTGTTACTCCTCGTGTAGGAGCACAGGCCACTCACCACCATTCTCCATCCAACCGTGTCCTGGGAAATCCTTTCTAGCTCTTACCACTTGTTATTCATCCTTTTCATATGTGCTTCTATTTACCGACGCAATGTGTTATTTGGCCTTCCTCTTTTTCGCTTTCCTTCAGGATTCCAACTTGGGGCTTGCCTCGTGATGCAGTTTGTTGATTTCCATAATGTATGTCCTATCCATTTCCATCGTCTTTTCCTAATTTCCTCTTCAGCCGGAAGCTGGTTTGTTCTCTTCCATGGATGGCTGTTGCTGATGGTATCCGGCCAATGGATGTTGAGTATCTTGCGTAGACAACTGTTTATAAATACTTGTACATGTTTGATGGTGGTTGTTGTAGTTCTCAAAGTTTCAGCTCCGTACAGTAGAACTGACTTGACGTTTATTAGAATTTGTTCATATGAATACAAATAACTGCTTTGCACATTAATACTAAACTACTTTCAAAATTTATAATATTACGTAACCATGGTTTGACATTTTAAAAGTACCATTTATTCCCTCCCTTCACCCCTTTGAAAAACTGTTTTCTTTTAATAGGACAATAAATCTACTCTTAGATATTTCAGGATAATTTAAAAAATTCCGGTTTTCTCCATAGATATTTCTCCCTATTTATATTAAATTTAATTATTATCAAAATATTTTTTTATTTTCTTAACAGGTTTAAATCAAACTGATCAACCATCATCGGATCATCATCAAATAACAAAATATTTAAATATAACATGTACTGATTCAAAATCAATAGAAAAACATTATAATTTATCATCTCAATCAACAATTCAATCATTGGAATTAACTATAAATGAATCCAAAAATTCACCAATATCAGATATAAAATATTCTAATGATAAATTAAAACAAGATTTCTCTCAAATTAAATTATTATCTAATTCATTTAATACTATGATAAATGATAAGGAAAATTTAAATTATTATCATCAATATAATAATAGCAATAATAATAATGATAATAATAATATGAATAAATGTTTCGATGTAACTGATTGTTATCAATCACAAGAAACTGATCATTTTTCTGATTCATTCAATAGTTCTACTTCTTCTACATCAACATCTCAATATATTCAAATTCAAGAAGATGGTATAGATAATACTGATAAAGAAGAATTTGAAATTCGTCGTAAACGACGTAAACAAATATTACCACAACAGAATTTTCATTTTACTCCAGTTATAACTAATAATATGGATGATTTAATGGAAGTTAATGATATATCAAACGAAAATGATATGACCAGATTTATAGATTATGAATTAGATGATAGTGTAAATTATCAACCAAAAATAAGAAAATTATCTAAATCTTTGTCAAAAAACGATGTGGAGCATTTAGAAAGTGAAGAATTAGAAGAAGTGAAAGAAAAAGAACATACAGAAGAGAATATAGAGAATAAAGATGTTGTAGAAATGAATTCAGATATTCAAATGATTAATGCTGATGATGAACATGTACTTAACCAAACAGATAAATTATTCAATAAAAGTTTCTCTTCTACTATTAACATAAATTCAGAATATAAGAAATTAATTAGTGAATTAAGTCAATATGCCGTAGAAGCATTTCGTCGAAGTTTAACAAATAAATCAACTAAAGTACAAAAAGGTTTAGATAATGAAGTGAATAGAAACAATTGTAGCGATGATATCGATCGCGGTAGCATCACTACTACTGCTATTAATAATAATAATGATAATACTGATAATAATAACACAGAAGAAAGAATTATTGAACAAACATTATTAAAACTTGAACCACATATATCTGAATTAGTCGGTCAATCATTAAGAACAAGTATTGAAACAATAAAAAAAGAAATGTTATCTAATTTTCAAAGAATCAATAATCATTCATCTATGAATCTATTACATAATCAATCTGAAATTAATGAAAATAATAAAACATTAGAAATTAGAAATCAAGAAATATTTCCTGAAACATTTCAACATTTAAATGATCCACATAAAGATGATACTAATTCTAATGAAGAAATAAAACAAAATCATTCAACTGAAATAATACCAATGGAGAAAATTGATCATGTAACTGATAATTTAAGACAACATTTACATAATTCAGCAATAAATACAAATGAACAAATGAATAATAATAATAATAATAATAATAATAATAATAATAATAATAATAATGATAATAATAATAAAATATTACCATCTAATAATTTAATGGATCAATCTATAGGAAATGATCAAACTTCTATTATAAATAATCATTTACCAAATATAATAACTCATTCAAATGATCCTATTCAATCAGCCTATAAAACATTACTGACAAATAATATATTAAAATTACCTATAAATAATCTTACATTCAATTCAATGAATCATATAAATCTAGCCTATTCAACTTGTAATACTGATCATAATGATTCTATTAATAATTGTATAGATACAATTGATTTTAATAAACAAATCATGCATAATATCCATGAAGAAAAAGAGAAATCTTTACAATTTCCTTCATTTTTCACTAATTTGAATGAGAATAATAATCAATTATATTCAAGAATTTCATCTAATGATCTATCTATGATTAATGTAAGTTTATTTATACTTTAGTTAAACATAGTGATAACAATAACATTTTAGTTTTTGATTGAGATCATAGACCGTGACCAGTGGAGCTAATCCTTGTCGGGTAGAGACAGGTATCTACCTCAGTAAAACGGAAGTTGGTCGCGCAATTTCGTGGATTGGTTGTTGTTAGAAACTATTACCATTGGATGCCGGCTTAGTGGTCCAGTTGGTTAAGCGTTCACGCGCGAGACCGAAGGCCCTGGGTTCGAATCCCGAGGGAGGGATCGTGGATGCGCACTGCTGAGGAGTCCCACAGCAGGACGAAACGGCCGTCCATTGCTTCCAGGTTTTCAGCTGTGATGGTCTTACATCAATCGGTTCATGATCTCAATCAAAAACTTAATAATCTCCACAACCCCTATACTAGTAAAAACATTTTAGATTGATTTTAGCAAGTGAATTATTGAAAATCATGAACTACTAGTTAGTTGTTTTATTCTAGTTTGGTACTTTTTTGGAATTATGCAAATGCTTTAAAACTCTCTAATAGCTAGCAAATATTTTTTTAAGTTTTAAATTCGAGAAATATAACTGGAAATCCAAGACACTAACTGGTGTTTATTCATTTTAAGAGCGAAATGTTTGTTATTGATAACAATCAGTGATTATCATGAAGCATAACAGGTTACTAAAAGTGGAGATGTGGATTGTTGAATCTTGAGTCAGTGATTTTAATCTAATGCTTTCATCTCTAGAACTTCATGACCTTAGTTCAGCCCTGTGTAGAGTTATAGGTTGATACTGCTGTTGAGTTTTTAGGTCAGGGTTAAACAGCTGTGGGTTATTTTGTATTTTCTAATGAGGCTCTTGTTGATGTTGGCGGTAATGAAAAATATATTGAAATTGAGAATATCTACACAACCTATTTATTTAAATGTCTTTCTGTTAGAGGTACATTAGTCCACAATAAGAGTAGAAACTATTTAAAGCTTATTAGTGTTAACTATCCTTTATTGAACTTAATAATGCAGTTAATTATACTGAGCTAATAGGGAGAGAATCAACGACACAGTATAAAATGATTTTCAACAATACTGAAGGATATCAATCATTTCCGATTAATTGTTTATACAAGGTATTGTGTGACAACAAGATATTTTGTGCATAGTCGTGTTTATTTTGTCATAATAATATACAAACTACATCAAATCTTCCTTTTACGTATTAAAGTAGCAACGGTTCCGACCATTCTCAATAAAAACATATAACGTTGTATCAATGAGAAATTCCTTTCGAGTAATATTCATGTGTCGAATGTCTTTATTAATTTCATTGGTAAAAAATTTGTTGGCACAAATCTGTAAAATAATCTTGAAGCCATCATTCAAATAAAGAAATATGCCATTTTCTCATATGCACATTATGACAACAAAACAAATGCGAAAACATTTTAAATTAAAAGAAAAACCACCATCAAGATCATATTTTGTATGTTTAGTTTGCAACTCTCGTATTTTCTCACATACCTGAAGCGGAATCTTTGAATTCTATCTCTAAGATTCAATCAATTATAATTTGGTTTGTGAAAATAACTAGACTAGTTTGCGTTTGGATAGATAACCATAGATTGTAAAGACAAATATTCATTCATAGAACTATCTGAGATATTACAATTTAAAGTAGATTGAGCTTCATAACTGGTAAGTATTCCGTTGAAAACTATCCAGTGAACAAGTCATTCATGAATTAAAGAATAAACGTCTTCATCTTCTTTGAAACTATCAGATAACAATATTGTATTTTGCTTGTTAATAAATTGTTTACTTATCAACTTTTAAAAATTCTATTCCTTCTATAAATTAATTAGCTATTTGAGATCTTTATTTCAGATTGGTAACCACTTGAAGCTTTATCATAAACTGATACTGTATAAAAAATACCCAATGAAATAAAACAGAAGAATATGTTATTCTAGATTAGAATTATTTAGTATTATGAAGTTAAACAAACTACTCCTCAGAGCTTTCGCCTTCTCATTACTTATTACTTCATGGGTATATTTTCACTCATTAATCTTAAAAAACCAGTCATTATTATCTTTAAATGTAACTATAGATGTTCCTTCTAAAATCATGAATAACTAAAAAATGTTATGTAGAACGAATGTTCCATATCACTAAAAAGACTACTTAAATTTAGACTTATACTGTGTCCGTAATAATAACCTTATCTGTAATGAAATGTTGAGTAAGTCAGTTTCATTTCAAAAGGCCTGATATTGTAAAAATTATTCAGAAAACCTAGTTTTAGCGAAATGTATATATGTATTTAATGCTTTCTAGTTTCACAATAAGGACTGTTTACATAGTAAACTATATTCATTTGAAAGATGATAAATAAAAACATCTCACTATCATTCAACTTGTTTCAAAACTAAAATTTATTTGATCAGAATTAAATTTGTTATTTCATTCAGTATGTATATATTTACATTTTACAGACGAATTCACCTCCGTCTTCATCCCAATC